AGGATTCTGTTAAACAATCTATGGATGAATATTAGCGTAATCAATCCCGCACCTCCTCCCAATGTTATTATACTATTCAGTGAGAGTAAACGTGCTAGTAGTAATAATAGTATTATGCACGCAAATACGCTAAATGAATTCGAATTTCTGACTCAGAGGATAACATAAAACGTAAATTCATCATATAATTGACGTGGCATTCTAATGGTTATTAAATTTCCGTATTTGAATACGTCTATATAATCTTTAACAGTTGGCAGTTAATATCTATTTTTTTTTTTTTTTTGCAGTAATACATTCCCAGACATTCCGCTAAGTACGCTACGTTTACTTGATGAATCATCGATGACTGGAGTAAACTATAAAGTTGGAACGAAGTCTGATTTCTATGCCGGTCCCGTATATGTAATTGTTGGTTTTCAAGAATTCGATGGACAAAATCCAGCTGAAGAAGATCTTTTCGAGGGAAATGATTGATTTTTGTTATTGATTGACTGCTTCACTGAGAGAGTTTAGATGAGGAAGTGTATATCTGTCGACAAGCCATTCTATTGTTTTGGAAGCAGCTTGAACCATAAAGGCATTGTTTGTGAAGTGTGATAAATATTTGATAAATATAAAAATGGATGATTCATTTGAAGTCGAATATCATGCAAAATATGCAAATTGAATAGCCTGTTTTTTATGCTTTGAAAACACAGCCATAATTAGATATTGATTAATGAGGCCAGCGATAGCTTACATTTTTATGTTGAGTCAATTCTTGTTGCTGGTTTCTTTTTATTAATGTGAAAAAAGATGTATGTATTTTTGAGATTTGAAATTTCTTTTTTGGAAGTTTTGAAATTTTTTTTGGAATATTTTAAAATTTGGAATTTCCTGCTTGTAATTCTCAATATTTCTTTAGATTTTTCTGTATTTTTGAATTTCTTGTTTTTTACCTACTGCATGCTTCTTTTATTAGCTTTACTTGCTGCGCACCTGGGTCCAATTAATTGCTGCTAATGCATGTGCTTTTGATAGTTCCATTTACCGTTACTTTCTTACCAGCCTTATTTATATTACCTGCCTTTCTTAATTAATTTCGATTTCCGGGTAAGTCATGCAAATACTCCTGTTTATGACATATTTTTTTATTGACCTTACTTTTTATTTCTTTTCTTTCTTTTTGACTGTTTCCTTTTTTTTGTTTTTAACCTTTTACTTATTTTTTTCTTTTACTCATTCACATTAATGAAACGTTCATTTGAAGGATGCAAAAAGTATCTCTTAATTTCAGATTATTTAATTTCACTTAAAGTAATGCTTCTATTGGGATATAACATTCTGGAAAGTTAATTTCTCCAAAGAATTGTTTTGTTACTGTAACTTTCGTAGAATGTATCTTTATTAGTATGTGAAAATATACTATCAGAAAAGGAAGCGAACATTCTTTTGAAAGAAAGGTACAAATATTGTTTCACAACTTGTTCTTCCCTTTGCCAAAATTTCGAATCTCCAATCATATCCATTTTGTCGGAATTCCCCAGATTTAATTAAATTTTCACTTTTCTCTTTTCCTCTCTTTATTGTGAGACAAAAAGTTCTTTTGAAATTGTTAAATAGCGATCTCAGGTTGAAATATGCCTGAGATTTGGAATATATGACAAGCAGTTATTCCGGCAAGTAGCAATCACAAAGTGTACTATCTTTGAAACTGCGTCCAAATGCAACATCATTTTCAATTTTGTGGTCAAAGAGACCTTAGACCTTCTGATGGTCGTTTTATGAAGTTAGTTATTTTCTTGGAGTTCAATTCATCTTAGTTTATTGTTTTCTTTCTTTCATGA